TTTTATATGGGGGAGGACATTTCCCTCCCCATATGCTGAGTCCCTGAACCATTAATGGCTCTGGCCACGCAGGGATGCAGTGAGGGAGTTTGCTGGAGTAAATATTACTGCCTAGGGGTGGAGGGGGGGCATCTTTAGACACTGACACTTTGACTTGCATGGGCATATAACGGTGTCTCTTCAAACTATACTTTATTAGAGAAATATCCAACTAGTTTATGACCAGCTTAACTATAAAGAAAAAGGTCTAAAATGAACCCAGAAATAGTTTCCCATTGGAATTAAATTAATTTTCTCTTTTTAGTATCTGGATATTCTGATCGGGGATTGGCATGACTCCATTAATTGCGGCAGAGACGCGGCCCGTTTCTATATTAATCGTGAAATTGAGGTAAATTCTTCTACTTCTCTTATTTCTGGCGTGATCTGTACACAATCCCGGTCCTCTGATGTCCGTGTCCTGTCTGTCTAAACAGATAATATGTTGTTTCTCTATTGCTATTCACGTGAAGAAGCCTTTCCATATGAGGGGGTGGAACCTTTAGGGGCAAAGAAGAGCGCCCCCTTGTCATCTCCAATTATCTTAATGACTGTAGGTTATTGGAGAGGCTCATGCAGCATGGTGGGAGCTCCTATAAGGCACATCCATGTTGTAGATGATCGAGATGAGTTCACAATATTTTCTTACACATGCCTTCCTTTAGACCAGCGTTCCCTCCATTTTTGCCATTATAGGAGAACTATGGGGTCAGTGCTTTTCCCCATAGTTCTCCTAAGGATCATGGGAGAACACAAACTAGCGTCCTCCCGTCACCCTAAGCTCAGTATACCGCATGCTACAGCTTGCGGTATACTGAGACGCCGCAGCCAGGACGGATCCCGGCATCGCTGTCGAGATCCACCCAGCTGTGGGATTGACAGCTGGCTCTGCCTATCCAGAAGCAGAGGCAGCTGTGCCCGCCCCCTCCCACGTCCATTCCGCCAGTCAGCGCTGGAGGATCGGAGCGGGGAGGGGTAATCCCTGCTGGGAGCCGACCTGTGACAGTTTCATTGTCACAGGTTGGCTCAGATTATGAGGCTGAGTGAAAATCACTTGCCTCATAGTTCTCCTTTTAACTGCCAAGCTTACGGCTATAAAGCCTCCAATGTGAGGACCCCCTGAGGACTCCCGCTACCTAGGCTGACCTGCTTCTTCTGGAAACCCAGAACTGGTGTAAAATGCCTTGTAATGCTAAGCTGGGGGAGATGGGGGAACAGCAATTCCCTGATTACCTCTGTGTGCGGTGAACCTGGAAGTGCTCAGCGTCTGGGAACTGTCATTAAAAACACCGCTCATGGCCTGCCTGTGATTTGACCCCACAAAAGCTGAGGTGATAGCCAATTATAGGTGTATCAGCCTTTTGCAGCCCCTGTACAGCTGAGCTCACAGTGGTGATGGGGAAGGAGCACAGGAGTGAATCAGTTCATGTGATGACCGGGGCTCGGATTTCCCACAAGGCAAACCAAGGCCTGGCCTTGGGGCAGCAGGCAGTAGAGGGGCAGCAGGGGTGTGGAATACCTATCTCCCGATGCCTGGGACATGCATTGCTGGGCGGGTAGTTGTTTTCTACAGTTAGCCCTGTTTTGGTCAAGCAGAGCTAAATGTACAGTGGGGAAGCCTCCACTTCTTTTGTACAAGTGATCTCTGCGATGTCGCCAAGATCACTTGTAAGCAGCCTGCAGGTCTGCCATTCTCCATGGGGAGTTGGTGGGTATTGAGGAACCTGGCCTTCGGGGCAGCAGAGAGAGTAAACCTGGCCCTGGTGATGACATGAGGCATGCTGATTGGAAGAGAAAGCAGTGTGATGGAGAGATGAGCTCAACACTGTGCTCCTTCTCCCTTCAATCTCTAGTCACATGCTGGGGATGGGTCCGGGGTGACCTGGGCACAAAGGAAGTGGGTTGCATAATGCTGACCATCTGACTGAGGGCATCTAGAGGCAGAAAGAAGTACTGCAGGGGAAATCTCTGGATTGGAATTTTGCAGCTTTTCATATATTATCTTTTCATGGGCTATTCATTTCAATGTTATTTTTGTGCTGCTCTAAGCCAGTGTTGTCACACAATTGTCTCTCTCCCCCCCGACAGAAGCTCCAGAAGGGCTGCAATTACCCAAAAGTTTTATGGGGCTTGAAAAGCAGTCACACCCGCTGTTTCTTGCTCCCCCATCCGGGCAAAGGGATAACAGGAGAGGGACAGGGACGACTTCAAGGTAATGACCCCTCCCATGGCGCCTAGTGATCACTGTACTGTATACTTGGTTTTGATAGGAATGGAGATATTACCACAAGTGTTCTGAATACAAAAAGCAATAAAGATATTTTTAGATTGAACCATTTTTTAGGACCCATCAGAAGACCTTTCCGTGTTCTATGGGGTCATTGTGGCAGCATGGTGTGTCGTGGCCGGTCTGGTCTGATGGAGATCTCCAGTAGAATGACACAATGTTCAGATTATAATAGTAATGGTCGTCTTCCCTGATCTCAGGCTTGGTTCTGGGTCAGATGGTCCTCCTCCGGAATTATAACTGCCCTCTCTTCTGTTTGCCCCTCCCCCCCCCCCAACAGATATGGATGAAGACTTCCAAGAGAACCTGCGCACATTCATAGTGGACGTGGTGAAAGGCGTGTGGCACCGCACTAAGATGGACCGGACCGGGGGTGCCCTCTCCAGCGCACACCTTCCCGCCTTGCTGCAGGTGAATAGGAAGACGCTCTACGTTTATGTCAAAGAATAAGGACCCACTTATTCTTCCCCCCCATTGGGCAGTTTGCTCCCATTGCATCATGGGATCTAGCATTCTTCAATGGAGAGCCCAGCAATCCCCTATTATGCCTTCATGACAGGGCCCCTTTAATTATTATGGGTGTACCCAGAAGGGTAGAAGATTGAGGATTACCCCAAAAAATATCAATTTTATATAAAATAATGATAATATAAATAATATTAGTAAGGGCCCATTGACCCTATCACATTGCAGTAACGTTACTTGCCTAGGAGCGATGCGGTGACATTAGTTTTGAATGGCACCCCAGTGCGCCATGCTGAGGGATGTACGTTGTGGTGCAGCGCGCTTCCAGAATTGGTGCATTTATGGTGAGTTGGCAGCCCATCATTTTGATCTCAAAGCGGCACTCGGCATAACGCAAGTCAACGCTCCGTAGTGCTCTAAACAGTGACGTGCGGTACCTCTGGTTCCAGGTGAGGCATTCCCCAGCCTCGACCCCAGCACGTCCCGCCGTTTGAAGCCCCACCCCCAACCCGGTCCCCAAGCTGTGTGGGGAGGAGACAGGGAGGATCCCTCACTTGCTCATCACTGCTGAGGCATTCACTGCTTGCCATTCGTGTACGTTTGAGCCCCATAGAGTTCGATGGGACCTTCTCCGATTGCCTCCAGCCTCAGCATACAGCCCCATAGAAACCCATGGGGCTGTAATACCCAAGTCCACTCAGGTTTTGAAGGTCTTCATTACCCCGGGACTTGGAAGGGTTAATACTACCACATGCATTTCTATAGGACCGTCTCTGATTGTCTGCAGCCTTGGGACGCAGCCCTAATAAAGTCTATGGGACTGCAAAGCACAGGTGAGGTCTGGTCACGAAGGTCTTCATCACCCCCCGGGACTTGGAAGGGTTCATATGACCAGATGCCCCTTTTGTAAGACAGCTGCAGCCTGTTGTGATCCCGGGGTAATATTCTGGATTTTCATTTCTCCATCTAGGAATTTGTTGACGTTCTTGAGCGGCAAAAATACGGCTTCTCAACACCAATGGAGGTAAGGCGCCATTTCATTAAATAAAGAAGCCACACCATAGCTTTTGTCCTTGCCGTGGCTCATACTACACGGAGATTGCTCTCCTCTGATTGGACTGCAGTCAGGAGAGGAGCGTAAGAGAGGTGCCTAAAGGAGGACCCCGATAGAGGAGTGTAAGGGAGGAGCATAAGAGAGTGACTACGGGAGGAGCGTAAAGGTGGAGCGTAAAGGTGGAGCGTAAGAGAGGGACGTAAGGGAGGAGCATAAGAAGTATGTAAGGGAGGAGCCTAAAGAAGTATGTAAAGGAGGAGCCTAAGAGAAGAGTGCAAAAGAGGAGCTTGAAAGCGGAGTGTAAGAGAGAAGGGTAAGCGAGGAGCACAAGAGAGGGATGTAAGGGAGGAGCCTAAATAATTATGTAAGGGTGGAGAGGTAAAGGAGTAGTGTAAGGCAAGAGCCTAAGAGAGGAGCATAAGAGAGGAACCCAGGTTTTTTCTCAGTTGTTGGACCCCATGAGGAAAATGACATCAGAATTTGGGATGAGGCGATTGGTTACTTGCCACCTACGATGACATAGCACCATCTCTCACTCGCAGTTCTCTCTTTCAGATGTTTTATGTTATTAAGAACCAGAAGATCCTGGAGAACATCAAGATGGAGCTGGCCGAATTCCTCAGTAATCGGGTGAGTGACGACATCCAAGAAAAATCTATGATGGTTTGGTCATGTGACCTATGGTCACATGGGCTCAGGAGATCCTGAGATGTTTAAAGGAGGGCTCCAGGTAAAACACAGAGTTGGCAGAAGCCGGGTCACTAAGGCTGCCCATAGACATTGGAGGAGGTTTGGGAACATCTGACCGGCCTCAGTGTATTCATTCTGTACTTATGTAACTAACCTGTAGGTTCGGCTGGTGTCCTTTTAATGATTTATACACTATCTTCTCCTCCCAAGAGCCCTCAGTCCTGATGCAAGCAGTGGGCCGGCTCTTGGGAGGAGTTATGCAAATACCAAAATGCCATGAAGGGTGGGTGAGGTCCACATGTGATTCTGAGCCACCATGATTAAAATAACTGATATCCAATTAATGTAAGGGACAGGGACAATCCTCCAGCCAGGAAATGAGGCGGGCTCTCTCTGACTTGCTGCAGCTTCTAATGCACATTGTGGGACGCTCAGAGTGTGCGGAGATATCAGAGGAAGCCATTTCAGTCCAGGAGAGGAGCCGGTACAATTGGGCAAGACTGAAGGGAAGGATGGAGGTCAGATATAAGTCTTAAGGGAAGGATGGAGGTCAGAAAGAAGACTGAAGGGAAGGACGGAGGTCAGATAGAAGACTGAAGGGCAGGCCGGGGTTCAGATTTAATCTCTTCACAAGCTTGTATTGTTTTGTTTCGTCTCCAGCCTTCCCACCTCTTGCCATCCACCATGAGAACCCTCGTCTCCGAGAAGATGGAGGAACTGACCAAGAAGTTCACCGACTCCTTTCTGGGTCCCAACACAGCCCACCACACCAACCTGCTGGGGGAGCTGGAGACGCACCTGCAGGAAGAACTGGAGAAGTTCTGTTCTGGGTACACTACGCGTTTCACCTGTAACGCCATCGGACTGGGCCTGACGGCGGGCGTCGGGTTGTACGGAGTGGTTGGCGCCGCCGCCGCCAGGGGCACCGTCATCCTGGCCTCGCAGCCAGCTGTAGCCGTGGCAGAAAGCGCCGTCGCCAGGTCGGTGGCCACAGGCACTGTGACCCTGCTGAAGGATGGACTGTCCGCCCTGGTGGGGCGATTTTTCCGAGGTGGCCTTTAACGCATGATGGCGGGGTGACTGCACGCTAAATACAATTCCCAGAATCCTTTGCTGTGCTTACAGGGGCTGATTATAAAGGAAATATCACCTTCTCATCATTGTAATCGACATTTTAAGGGAACGTAAAACTCAAAAACATCCTTAAAGCCGACCTACAATCAGAAATGTTTTTCATGTTAAAGTGACATTAAAGGCAAAGTCCCCCCCCCCCTCCCCCTCCCCATGTTCATTAAAGCACTTACCTTCAATGATGTTTCTTTATCTGGTCATCTTCTTCCTTCCTGTCCTTTTCAGCCTTCTCTCCAGCGCTGTCTCCTCAGTCCTTGCTGGCACTTCCTGTCCCACGGTGTCCGCATGCGGGTGCACGCCATCCATAGACTTACCTTGTGCCTCTCCTCCGCCTCCCGGCTGAAAATCCGAACTGCGCATGCGCCTGCAAGTAACAGATGATGTGGATTGGAGCGACGTTCACCATATTTATTCCCAGATCATTGTTGTACAAATCATTCTGAATGGAGAAAGCTGGTCGGATGTCCAGTGAAACGTCTTCAAGAAGAATACAGCAAGTCCAGTTGCCTTGACTTATTGGTTACAGATAGACCGTGACCTGGATGAATGAGAACCTTCACAGACAAGAGGCTCCTGAATTGTGTCTCGGTGCTCCCTTGAAGGTTGCGGCCTCATTTGTCCATGCAATGAAAGGTCACAACCCAACAATGGCCTTCAAACTACAAGAGTGTTATCACATGAAAAGCAGGAAAGCCGTCAGGCTGCCCTTGGGTGTGGCAGGGGTATAGCTCAGCGGCAGAGCATTCAACTGAGAGGTCCCCGGTTCAATTCCAGGTGCCCCCTTGAAGGTTCTATCCTTGTCTATCCTTCATATTTAAACAATGGCCTGCATATGTCTGGGTGTGGAAGTCGGTTTATTGGTCACCACTGGATGGTCAGTAAGTGCTTTTGGGGCAACAGTGGAACTGGGAACCCTACACAGGCTAGGAGGACACAGTTCATTCAGGGGCTTCTTTGAGGCTGAGCACTACATTTGGAAAAGGTTGAGCATGAGATCCCTAATTCAAGTCTGGGTGCTCCCTGGAAGGCTACAGTCCCATTTGTATCTGCAATATAAGGTCATGTGTGGGATTATAGCTCAGTGGTAGAGCATTCAACTGCAGATTGAGAGATCTCTGGTTCCCCCTGCAAGGTATGATCTCTCTTTATATCGTCGATGAAAGGTTGGGTCATTGGTTGCAGGATGACCTGTAAATTTGTTTTTAGGAAGATTGTAATCAATGAGAAAGGAAACCAGTTCAAAATGCATAGCTACAGCCAAGGGGGTATAGCTCAGTGGCAGAGCATTCAACTGCAGATTTAGAAGGCCCTGCTTCAATTCCAGGTGCCCCCTTGAAGGTTCTATCCTTGTAGCTTTGGAATGAAACATCACAACCCTTCATTGAAGCAACGGCCTGCATATGTCTGGGTGTGGAAGTCGGTTTATTGGTCACCACTGGATGGTCAGTAAGTGCGTTTGGGGCAATTGTGGAACTGTGAACCCTACACAGGCTAGGAGGACGCAGTTCATTCAGGGGCTCCTTTGGGGGTGAGCGCTACATTTGGAAAAGGTTAAACATTCAACTGCTGGTCCAGAGATCCCTCATTCAAATCTGCGCGCCCCCTGGAAGGCTGCAGTCTCATGTGTCTCTCCAATGTGAGGTCATCTCTGGGACTATATCTCAGTGGTAGAGCATTCAACTGCAGATTGAGAGGTCTCCAGTACATATCCTGGTTCCCCCTGTATCACCTTCAAGGTGGTGGCCGGACGACCTGCAAATTAGTTTTTTTGGAAGATTGTAATCAATGAGAAACAGTTCAAAATGCATAGCTATGGCCAAGGGGGTACAGCTCAGTGGCAGAGCATTTAACTGCATACCAAGAGGTCCCTGGTTCAAATCTGGGTGCCCCCTGGAAAACATGCCCTTGAAGAAACATCCAAAAACTGTGGTGAAACTGAATTTGAGGGGATATAGCTCAGTGGCAAAGCCTAAGCAAACCAAGAGGTCTCTCTCCCAAAGTCAACCCTGTTCTAGGCTGACAACACTCACTGTACTCTATCTATAGAGAAGCAGTGTTGTCACCTCCTAGGACAAGAAGTGTGTTAGGACTGCAGAACACCATTCTTCTCATCCCCATAACATAGGGAGCAGGGGTGTGCTGTGGTCCACAGAGATGGATGAGAACAATTCAACTGAGAGAACAGCTCAAAAGATTTCTGGCGGGATCAACAGGTATTTTTCTCACAGACCGAATGGGAGCAAAGAATAGAAGTTCATCCTTAGGTCTTATTTTACACATAACCCCCATTAGAAATCCTAATGCCGGAACAAAGGGGACATTTCCTGGGCTTCTTGGTCATGTGATGATTGTGATTGGTTGTCACAGTGATCACATGATCAAGAGCCCATTCTACCACCTCCCAATTGTTGCTCTGTGAGAGGGAGCTGTTGATGATCACAGTGCATGAGCGTCACATACTGTATATGTGGCGGCACGGGATAAAGCCCACCTCTGCCATATATATGTTGTAGCAGTGCGTGGCAATGCCAGGGTGTCACCCAGGTCTCTCAGCCAGGGGGGCTGAGCAGTTCCAGAAAGTGCAAACGTTTACTGGGAAAGAGCCGGCTTTGAATGTTCTTCCCAGGTTTTCCGGATTTGGCACGGGTTCCTGGAACTGGGAGATTTCAAAGAGCATTGGGAGGGATGAAATCTCCATTCCTGGGTCCAGGCTTTAGTGGCAGCCAGCACCTGATTGTGCACCTGTGTGCATCCCTCATGAGGAGGGTGCATCCCTCATGAGGAGGGTGCTGGAGTGTGTTCAGGGCTCCTGCTGGGAAGAGGGACAGGTGGTGTCTCGGAGTCAGGCGGACTCCACCCAGAAGCCAGGAGGCTGTGTATGTGTTGGAGGCTGGAAGGCCTAGAGAGGCTGATAGAGCCAGGCACCCAAGGTGTATGGGTGTGAAATCAAAGGCTGCTCAAAGTGCCCAGTGTATTCCTGAAGAGATCCTGTTGAGGAAAACAGTAAGGTCCTGGGACTCGGACACTGAACAGGATAACCTGTGAAGGGTGAGCATTGGTGAGCCCATATCTGTTATATGCTGCAGCAAGCTATTAATGTTGGACTTCATTTACTGTCTGCCTTTTGAACAGAAAATAAAGACGTTTTGTTAATGGAAAAGCCTGTGCGAGTGCTCTGTGAGCTCCCCAATATCACAATGTATACACCCGGCGGGATGGGGTTGAAAAACACCCACAATTTTTTTACCTTCCCCATTGACTTCAATGCATTTTGCCAAAATTTTGCAAAAATCTTCTGATTTTCCCTAAATTTGGGGGGTAAACTCGCCGGTCATTGGCTGTCGGCTGTCTGGACGGTGAAGTCCATCTACACACTATACAATGGCAAAGCTGATGTGTTCTGAAAGCATCCGGCCGACATCTGGATTGTATTAGGGGGCACACAGCGACTCCGCGTCCTGGACGCCTTGCCAATGATTCGAATGTACCCAACAGATCAGACGGAGACAACGATCACCAAACCCGGCATGTGGACTCCATTAGACAATTCCTCTTGTTGGATCTCTACAAATATAACCCAACCAGATAACATGGAGGGACGGTGACAACGTTACATGAAGTCAGAGCCGGGATTTCCTATGAAGGCGGCTGATAACGTACTGACAATGCCGCACAATGGAGAGCAGAGAGTGTCGCCCTCTAGTGGAAGGAATGGAGACTCGTCTGTACCAGATTTCAGCTTGTAGAGAGCAACATGTATAGGGATTGATGTTCCCTACAACACAAAACCCCTAACCGTCACACACTACTATTATTATTATACATGTATATAGCTCTGACATATACCGCAGTGCGGTACAGAGATCACTGAGGCAGTCACATCAGTCTCTGTACAGAGGAGCTCACACTCTAATGTCCCCCTCCCCCACAGTCACATCAGTCTCTGTACAGAGGAGCTTACACTCTAATGTCCCCCCCACAGTCACATCAGTCTCTGTACAGAGGAGCTTACACTCTAATGTTCCCCTCCCCCCACAGTAACATCAGTCTCTGTACAGAGGAGCTTACACTCTAATGTCCCCCCACAGTCACATCAGTCTCTGTACAGAGGAGCTTACACTCTAATGTCCCCCCACAGTCACACACTATTATTATACATGTATACATATTATGTATATATAGTGAATGTTGCAGCCGCCATCGCTGGCCCTCAATACTCGTCCTTCTCAGATAATGAATCCTCCATTGTACACATTGTGCGGCATGTGCGGCATGTTGGACTTCCTCTCCAGCACCCCCGGCATGGCACATTGTAGTAATGAAAGGCAGACAATGGTTGGATCTGGGCTCGGAATGAGCTTGGATACTTTCCTGTTCCTGAATTGGATATGGCCCTATGGGTTTGTTTGTCAGATGGCGTCTTTGATTGTGTGTCTGTGTACTAATGTATAGAGCGATGGTGTGTCTGTGTACTGACGTTCAGACTTGGCCCCGCTGTTTAGTCTGTGGACGCTGGGCTGCCTTCCCAGACACTTGGATACTCCAATCTCATTACATCATATTGTACAGAGGGGGATCAGGCCCTCCACCCCCCTTGCTCTCCGCAGCCTGTACTGCATTATCCCATTAACTGTGTGAATACCGGACATATGACACATGTTATGTGCCTAACGTGTCGTTTGAGTTCCCGGCAGATGCCGAAGGGTTAAATAACCTGACTGGTTTCTGGCGATGATAGGTGATGAGATCTCCGTGCTGAGTCCCCAGGTTCGCACACCTGCCGTGGCCTTTACAAGGAGGTCCCGATCCCCCTGCTGGATTTCAGATTTATTTGATATTATGGGGAACGTAACAGGTGGAGTGAAAAGGATCCAACAAGGATGGGAGCGCAGCCTGGAAGTAGAAGGATGGGAGCGCAGCCTGGAAGTAGAAGGATGG